AGTTAAATCAAGAATATAGCAAATCTGACCCCACGAAAAAATATGAAATTTAGGTGTCTTATTCTAAACTGATGTTGAATTATTTAGATTTCAAATCAACTTATCAGGAAAAGGATTTGTTGGATTGACATACCGGATTTAAGGTACTATTTGCTTTGTACGTGTTGCCACACGACCAAGATGACTGTTTGGTCATTACTGGCCTCAGAGTTTGCCAGGCAGATAAGTTCGAGTGTTGATTCAAGCTCAACCGCTATACGCAAACACTTCTGGTGAATGGAAGGCTACTACCCTCGTAAATGTGACGGAGGCTATATCATGGTGTGTATCATTAAAACGTTTTACTCTGACGCTCACTGAACAGTTTGTCATTGTCCAAGGAGATAATCGATTGTGATTATATCTACCGACTTGCCCTATCAGCGATAACAACCTCGGACAGGTGAGGGAGACCGACAGGTGTGCGGTCGATTGCCAGTAATTCTGACTGGTGTTATAGATTAAATGCCGTCATTATTTTGCTTACTTACGATTTCGTTGAAACAAGACAAGACGAAAAAGATAATATCAATAAAAAGTATATGAAAATTCCTACCTATTTTTTTTATAAACTTTGACATCAAATCTTAACATCTCTAAATTCTTGTATTGAATTATGCTATAATTAATTTTTCTTTTTTTACGTTTATAAGCCAAAATGAAATACATGATCACACACACAACAGCAACATAATTACCGTACATACCAGAATATCATCACATCTTTCATTAGAATATGCTTTAGCTATTCTTAACTTATCTCGTTGGATTATCAGCTACTCTCATGTTCATCAACGCTGATAAATCCCTGTATAGAATTTGCAAAGAAGTATCAAGATTAAACGATATATTAAAATTTTAACAGTTTCAGAAAGGATGTAAATGTTATTTAAAGTAAACACCCTCCCCTTTTCAGGATTATGAATACCCGTTTTTCCCAATGATTAAAGCAATGACTGTGATGATAATGCTGTGGTATTTTTTAAATTAATAATATACAGGTTGGTATTTCATCTAAGTGACTGTGGTCATGCCAATGTAATTATCACTCGTATACATTGAAAGTTGAACCCTAAAATACTATGATTATTGATTTTCTGACTGTTGGAATCAATGAAACTCACTATTCGATTTAAAGTCTGTATGCGCATGCTGATATTACATGGTTGAATTATACTGCTACTGAAGGCAAGTGCATATCTAAGACTGCATAACTTATTGATTAGAATAATCCTTCGTGTAAAATACAGGAAACAATGCTGCGACGTGCCTGTTGATTCTTGAATAATTTAATGATTATGATGCCTAATGAACCTTACTTTTATCCTCTGTTGCCCATGAAACTGCAACTGCTTCTGCATGTGCAATAATCGAGTAATCCTTATTAACCATAGACATCCCAGCCCACCTAGATAAAAAAAGTCCTTATCGTTTATTTTAGTATATACACCAAAAGGGCATTAAAAAACACAGGCTTGTGTTTTGAAATAATCATAAAAAGTCACTTCTGTGTCGCGTTGAGATAACAATAGTGAAACACCTCCTAGTGTCTTTAGTGGCAATCTGAAATACTCCTTTGTTCAAGTTGGACAAAGCAATCCTACTTTTAAGGATAAAAGCTTTTACGTTCTCTGCATGTTAGCAGAAATCCTAAAAAAATATAATGTATACTACAAATAGATTTTTCCAATAGACTGTTAAAAACCTACATCAGATCAAATGAGACAACAAATCTACAAAGAATTGTCTTTAAAAAGAATCATAAAAAAACTGTTCAAGCGTTCCTGAAGGGTAAGCGTCTACTGTTTCATCGATTACATATGCCATGGAATTAATGTTCAGTCACGTCATACTCGCTTATTGAGAACGCATGACGGCAAAACTACCAGATATTCAACATATCTACCTTCATGTCACCAAAGGGATATAATATTTCCCACTGCGATCGTGATGATGACTTTTTCATCAAGCAATTCTGATATCTTTACTCAGACTTTAAAAAGCTCAAAGAGTAGAATCAACCACATTAAATCACATCAAACTGGTCGTTTATTGGCAATAGCGCAGAGAGAGCTTCATTAATAGCATTATGATCATATGCTTAATTCTGACAACAATTTTGATATCTTTTATATCTCAGTGACATCGTTGAACTGTATTAAATGTTATGATGGTGATAATGATGATGAAGGTGATGATGATGATGATGATGATGATGATGATGATGAAGGTGATGATGGTGATGGTGATGATGATGAAGGTGTATCCTGTATGTAAGATGTTTTATATTTAATGTTAATGCGCATGCTTATGAAAAGTTGTAAATCACAAATAAATACCTGTACGAGAGTTAATGTTCGTACATGTATTAGTATTTCTTAATGCTAAAACGAAAATTAAATGAAAGGTAAAAATTCAGAAAATATACATAATGGATCAAAGAATTTCAGAATTGGTTTCGAATCGAATCTTCAATTCATGCTAATTTGTTTCAATTAATTTTTCCCATTTGATCATCTCGATGTTCACTTTCCGTTCGTATCGATATAGGAAATGAGAATGGGTTCATGGGGAACATGCTTTTTGCGTTACTGCTATTACAAGAATTTCGTTTTGGCATGATCTGTATTTAAGCTTAAACGTTAAGAATTAACAAAGAACAAACCTAATAGCTGTACGTGTTATCACAATGGAGATCGATACTGTGATTTGAACAATATCTTTTCAATTTTACATACAATATTTCACAAATTATAGATAGTATATGTAAAGTGATGAATTCCTAAAGCTTAAATCATAATTTGGAATGAAATCTTATTTAGAATAAACTATTATACTTAAGGACACCGATATCTACTATGGATGGTTCATTAGACAACAACTAGATAAAAACGCACAGAAATAAGTCAGTCGATTTCGATATCTAAACTGCATTAAAATGTGACAAATGCTCAGTTCGGCACGCACATGGTAGTCGAAGGTACGTACCATTGATGTGAAGTCTTTTATCTGTGACCGTTTATGACCTACATAACTTTTTGCATGTGTTGATAGGATTTTATTTATTTCCTTCATCTAAAAACAATATTGGCTATATATCTAACAAGTGATTTTATTTCAGCCTCATGTGAAAGCGAAACATGCAATCCTTACTCCAAAAATGGAATCATCAATGGGATCTAAGTCAGATATAAATATGTAACACTGTACTAAATCTCCTATTTTCCTTGTGCAATATTAAGTTAGATGTGCTCAATGTTCGTTAGCATGTTTCAGAACGTGACGTATAAATGAAGCACGTGATGATTACCTTTCCAGAACATAACTTCCTCTTATGTCCTTACATGTCATGTGTCTCCATTCGCTTTATTATTTTGTTTATAATGTGCCATCGGTTTACTTATTTGATTTTGTACATAAGACGGCATTCAATTATTGTGTTATTGACATATGCCCCAATAGGAGTACAGACTGTTCTTAAAGAAATATATTATGTCCTGGCATGGTTACTATATGCCCTTGACGGTTATATGATGCACTCTTGGAGGATTACAATATGCTGCAGGGGGTGCTCGGGTGACTCAGTGGTAACGCATTCGCCTTTTACATAACCGTTCGGGGTTCGATTCCCGGAATGGATGTGAAAAGGTATGAGGTCACCTGCCCAAACACGTGGGTTTTCCCCGGGTACTCCGGTTTCTCCCACAGTCCACGGTAAGGACACTCGCCTTCTTCCACCCGGGACAACAAGAGTGATTAATATAAGTTGACAAAACTTGTTTCGCAATTTTTGTAAAATAATTGAAGTTTATTATTATCATAATGCTCCAGCATCATTACAATATCCCATTGGAGGGTTATAATATGCCGTCTTAAAGGATTACAATATGCCCTTGGAGGATTATAAAAAGTATGCTCTCTTGAAGAACTATAAAATGCCCCGGCATGATTGCACTATAAATCAGCACAAATTATGTTAACTCTAAAATCATATCAAATAAACACATGAAAAAATATAACGCCGTTAACTTTGCCGATGACATAAACTGTAGTTCAATTAAAGAGTTCTATCCGCACTCGAACTTAATATATGAACGTGATGTCATTAGGTGTTGTACACCGTCATTCCATACACTGGAAAATATGCTATCATCTCTCTCTCACGCGTTGCCACCTTTAAAATCGTCTATCTGTCCCGAGTGTGCTGTTGGAATTCTTTAATCTAGATAATAGGTTCTCGACCACTAGCATCAGAACAGAGCTAGCACTTTCGTCCAAATGTTGATGGATACTAAAACCATATTATTACGCTAATCAATACAAAAATGGTATTCTTTACTGGTGGGGGCTATCCGAGCCAGTGTGTGTACTTTGTGCGTTTAATAATTCACAGCAGAAAATAGTCATGGTTGTTTGGTTTCCCCTTATTAATTAAAGGAATGTGATTGTGTTGTTTGCAAGTAAAATATCCCTTTTCTATGATATCTCTTTATTTCTTTACACGGTCTACTTATACTTCAACGCTACGCTAGGTTTTCATTAAAATCAATATTAATTGCAGAAAAAGAAAAATACCGACAAGTCAAAAGAATTGTAATTTAAACTCAAGTTAGAGAAAGCTAGCGCAAAATATGAACATATAAATGATTTATACCACGACTTTTGAAAAGGAACAAAGAAAAGAGAGACCAGAAGTTCCGGAAGTCACTTTCCGGAAGAGAACACTGGAAACAACCGAACCACTGACACACTAGCCAGCAGAATACGTGTGTTTAAACACTAATTTCATCTTTCATTATTGATATCACCCTATGCAATCAACATAATTGGCAAAAGTCATATATGGTATTACAATGAGAAAACGTTAGGAAATACGATAACTAACTATCATTTCTTGTTTCAGTTCTTGCATATGTAAGAATTTAGAAAAGAGCGAATAAACAAAGAAAACAACGAAGTCATCAGAGCTCGAATTTATTGTACATCACAAAAATTACAATGTACACACCTTGTTGAATGTTTAAAACCGATTTTTTTACGATGTACACATTTTGGTAAATGTTCTTTCAAACTATTCCCGTAAATGTGCATCAGAGCATGAATTTATTTTGCATCAATGAAATTTACAATGTACACATTTTGTTAACTGTTCTCTTGATACCGGACTCCTGTTTCCCAAACATTTGCATTAGCTTGCAGGTAAAACATGAAACATAATATTCCCATATCAAAAGGTGATGAGTCTCACGACATGAATCTCCTTTAATCAAATATTTAAGGACAAAACAGAACAATCATTGTACCATTAACATAAACTGATGAACGACATTACGTCATACGGTCATACAATAATGAACGATAAGGTATAAACATTTTGCATGCATCTTAAAATAAAGTGAGAAATAACAATTTAAGAAAATAGTTGGTTGTTTGCTTCAGCCTGGTGTTGAAAACAAAAACGATATATCATTTAAGTATTCATAAAAAATATTTAATGACAACTGGTTTCCTTTTCAATAACAATATACCAATTACGGTTATGTGATAAACAGACAATTGAAATATCTAAATGGTAGCATTCTATAGTTCAAACGGCATTTTCAAACTTATACAGTTGCTTATTGATAGAACAAACGTTTACCGATTTCGTTATGGCGTTCTTTTTTCTAAATATAAGTGAAAAAAGTCCAACACTTTCTCTATTACGTATAGACTATTATAACGCTTTCAGCTAGCTATACATATACAATGGTATAATCCAATGAACACTTGGAAATCAAACACAATATCATAAATAAGGTATTTAGACACACTTACATATGTACATGCACATATATATATATAAATATATATATACGTTCACAACCATATCCGATACTAATGTACACAGGTATGGTTACGTCATATCACATACAGTACTTTCCAAAAATGTCCTGGTAGACTTGCACAATACCCATCTCACAATTCTAATATCTATTAATTTTTTTTTTGAAATGTGACACTTTACGTTCAGACAAGGAATTCAAATCTCATGAATCACATTTAAAAAACAAATATGGGACTTGTGCATATCATCAATGCTCTCCTGGACACGTTTAACACTTGGCACTTGCGATTTCAAATTAAGGGTAAACAAGCATTTAAGTGTATAGAAATCAAAACTGGTAATAAAGAAATTTTGAAAAAAAATGCAGGCATAATTGTTGGTAAATTTCTCGAGTTAACACATGAAAAATAAATAGTTTTTGACGTTAAAGCAGCAACAAAACAGGAAGGAATGTTTGTACTTGTAAACAGTTTCCGGGACTGTCATATATGTAGGTCATTACACACTGCATGCACTCATTATATAATGTTGTCAGATATATCGCCGGTAATAAATCCAGCTGCGCTTAATGCGATAACATCAGGTCACGTTTCACATGCAGAGTATTCAATGCACATAAAATATGTGCCAAATGTCCCTCTCATAATGGTGTCGGTTTTGTGTATAACGGTTGCTTTTTGGCGGGCGTTTAAGAAAGGTGTAGTTGGGGGTGGAAACTCAATATAACCATGATTTAAAAAAAAATAAAAATCAAAGTAAGAAAAACATTCGGAACCTTTGGTTAATCTGTAAATTGTACTCGGTTATAATGACCTCTACCGTACGTCAAGGACTTACGACAAATAAAGTACCATAAGAATGTTTCATTGGAACTCGGATCTTTTGTACAGTATTAAAACCGGTAAATTTCATGGAATTGAAATGCATTAAATACAGCAAAAACATCCAACATCAATATGAAAACAGTTATTAACAAAATATATCAAGACATGTACACATTGCTCTACACCTTAAGTCTATCCTGTAGGCATTTTTATTTAAAACTCTTGATTTTCATATTAATTGAAATGCTGTTAACAGGTCGATATTTTCACTGTTATTTATGTGCCCACAGCCATCATTGAAAAAATGACTTCCCAAAGGTCCATTTTGTGCAATTCGATGCTCTCGTAGCAGCCTTTTGTGTATCACAATAACATAATATCAGTTTTACAATTATTTCGTAAGTTTTCAAATGAACAGCAATAAATTTGAATTTCTATTTGTATCTTCAATCAGCTATGACTTCTGAACATTACCAACCAGTACTTTGGTATTACGTGCCAAATCAAAAGATAAAAGAATAATTGTGGCTTATGCTTCGACACTTTATCAGATATTGCAGCGTGAAGCCATCGGACCAAACTCTTCATTTTCATACTTTATTTCATTTCGGGTAATTTGCACAACTAACATAGCTTCATTGACATGTACAAAAGGTTGCACAAAAGACATACACGTGAATAGCATTTCCAATGCAATGGGACATCTAATACAGTTCAACCAAATAGTGAAAGCTATTGCAGCCTTTTAAAAGTTTCGTCCTTCTAAAATAAGTCAGTGATGCTAGTGGTAAAACATATTGAAATCTAGAAGATGGATTATGGAGAAAAAAAAACACATACACACAATAAATGTTTAGATATAGACAGGACGAATCACTTGATATAATCTAATCATTTTCCTTAATTTTTGAACTTGATAGAAAGACCGTCAAGTACATGTGTATATTTATAGAAAATACGTGGCACTTGGTGTTACGGCATCCTCTGGAACAAAATTATAACCGAGGCGAAGTGAATAGCACGAAGGTCAAGATATATGTCAAAAATTTGAAACGTATGTCGGTTTTTATGTTTGCATCATAATAAAATATTAGTTTAAACTAAACACAAGCGAGGTGTTTGCAAAATTATCGTTCTGAGAAAAAAATTAACATTGATGCTGTGATAGTAGACATCAGATACATTTAAAATCCTGAAACAGTCTGTGGTCTCATTTACAAAATATGTAATGAGCACAACTTAAAACTATTCTACACATCAAGTTCAAGATGTAATGCGGACTTCCACAACATGACTATTGAAAACAACTTTTGGGACAGTGTCAATGAACAAATACTGATCAAGAGCCCTATACTTTCAATGATTAATTGCCCTAATGATGAAAAACGGTTATGACAAGATAGTTTGACTATCAATTTTAACTTAATTAAATTATCTACACATTTCCTGTTGCATGCTTTGAGCATGTTGGCAAGTAATTTGCAATCTAGTTGCCATTTTAAATATATAAAATATTTCCAGAAGTCTTTTGTCATATAATGACATAAAGCAAAATGCATATCTGATCACTCTTCAATCTTTCCCTTTTCATTCATTCTCTAACTCATTGTTGTGAGGTCTGATACACGGAAAAGGAAACAAACATACTACTTAATGAATTATCATCAGAATCTTCGAAAGTCGATCGATGTGTATCAATTAATTTTCGCGAGAATCCTCAAAGTGTTCTCAATGGGAAACAAAACAAAAAAAAACAACAGATTGTTATAGTTTTCAGTTAAAGACCAATTAAGCATACAAAAAAAGATGTAACTCCTTAAACAGACAAAAAGTATAAAAAGGTACAAATATGAACGGTAAATTAATAAATAGATAAAAATTTCTCCAGTTATCAAGAATAATTGTTGTTCTCTAATGTCCTTGTCATCCTTTTTAATAGGAAATTAAAAGAATATGGTTATACCTCAAACATCGATTTATTATTGTGTGAGAGAGATATGAAAAAGGAAATTGAAATTTGTGACAGCAACCTAAGAAAAAGCTGCAAAATAAATCCCCATAAAATATTAATAAGAAGTTAAAAAACATTCGAAACACATTTACCCTCGATAAGTGACGAAGTCTTGTGTACACTTACATTTCTAACCAATAAATATATATACAACGAATCAAGCACAATCTAAAGCAAAACAGTAATTCCTGGCAATGTTTCAACATAAAGTCGTGTTACGGTATAGCAAGTGATTTTAGTTTAACAAGAAACATTTATAGTCAAAAGTGATTCATAAATGATAAAATCTGTAGCACAATACTGTTATCGAGTATTGTCTCCGTCTCACTAATTCATTCAAACATTCTTCGTAGCTTCGCTTGTTTCTGTCCAGTTTATATAACACAGTATTTCAGCAATGCAATACATATCACTATAGTTTCAAATGTATTCTTATCTGAATGGCACATATTTTCATCCTTGCTTGATGTAGCAATCACATTGGTTCCGGTAACAGTTTTTAATGAAAAGGTCTACACAAATGAATCACAGGCATATTCAAATAAGAACACATATGCTCTTTCATTTCAAATCTTCCTCAGAAAAAAATATACTTCATTTCAGTACATTTAACACATACAAAAGTTCATTGAACGTTTTATCCGCTCATTTTCATTTCCTGCACTGCGATTCCAGTCGCAAAGCATAAGTATCACCTCGAATTATTCTGAACCATAAGCAGTCGATATAGAAAAGAATAAGTTCGAATCCAATTCAGCATAGCACTTAATAAACATCAGTTACCTCGTGTAATAGTCCTTACTATTACTCAAAAATGCTTGTGTCATATCAATATATCAAACACAAAAGCTGCCGATACGTCAACAGAAGTTCAACCCTCTCCGGGTATAATTAGTCACGTGCCGGTCACTGACCATCACGTGTTAGTAACGTGTCAGTCTATTGTAACCGGTTCGGCCTTGATTTGATGGTGCAGTTTATGACTGTTCAAGGGTGGGACTGGCAAATCATCGTCCTCATCTGTGAAGGCGAATCTATCAATCTCACCATTTGGGAGAAGTCCATTCGATTTTGGCGGCATCGGTTTGTTTCCGTTGGTTGTAGGCTCCTTTGAAGGAGTTTTCTTTTTGATGCTCAGATCTTGTGCTACCTCGTTGCTGTCATGTCTATTGATATGACTGTTCCCATTCATTAATGTGTAAGTAGATATCAAGTTCATACCGTTTAACCTCGGAGTGGTCAGAACAACCGGATTTGTCCCGTTTCGTTCTTTCGGTACAGTCTTTTCTGGAGTTTTAGTTACCTCTCTCCTCACGCAGGTTGTAGGAGAGGCTGTTGAAGATGGAGGAGTTGGTGTGTGTGGTGCATGAAATCCATTCTCTACAGCAGTCGATGACGTCACTACAGTACTGGATACAACTGGACTTTTGCTCGGTTCCACCGATTTAGGGACAGTTGGTTCTGTTGTGTGTGGGGGGTCTTTTACCTTTGTTTCTGGAGATGGCTTTGTAGCTGACAAGACAGCAGATGCTGCAGCTATGGCACATTCCTGTGATGTGGTTTTCTTGTCAATGTCGATGTCACGCTTGTTTGAAGATGATTTCAACGTCATGTGTGACGTCACTGTGCAGGAGAGAGATTTCCTGAACCGTTTGGCGGGGTTTGTGTAAACCGTATAGAACAGCTTCATTGGTCCTCTCTGTAATTAGACCGCAATGTAAGTACAAGACAGTCTAACGAATGTCGAGCGGAACACAAATTAATGGAGATTTATTGTTAGATAAATTGCCTTTTAGGTACCCATACATAAACCTCATTCGTAATGAATGGTGTTTTACATTTGACGAAAAATAAGGCAAAAATCAATAAAATCGATACGACTTTAATTTGTAAAAGCGAAAGTGAACGTCTAGAAATGAAGTTCTAAACGTAAATACGAGTAGGAAATAATTTGGAAATAATGACGAAATTGCTCAATCTGGTGTTTACAATTGGTACGTCAATCCTATTTTGTTTAACATTCTTTTGCGATGATTGTAACAGCGATGTAGGCAAGGACTCTCTCATGTCATCACAAGAAAAGTGTGACATTCGCTCACAACAGACGGAAATAATAGCCGAAGTATAACGACCATATTTTACTTCACTCTACAACAGTTATATTAACAATGGCGTTATATACTGATGAGAGCCTCTAGAGTCAAACGTATGGCAAACGCGAAAATGTACCATTACATAATTACATCCGGGCATTATGACGTCAAAGCACATGTGGTGAAACCGTGTGGTATTAATGCATAATAAAGAAGTAACTATTGTACTTCCATTATCAAAGAGGAAGAAGCCGTTTAAAGAATAACGGGAGATCTACTCACCCTTCTCCATAAATATATGTAAGCCACATCCATAAGTGTGTATTCGTCTCGAAGTGATTCGTCGGTGTGGTACACATCGACCTACAAGATGATATGCATTGTTATATCTGAAGAGTCACCATTGATAAATAACGTTTGCTTATGTTGGTGAAGCATCTGCAATTGAATATGTTGAAGTAGTTATACTATTTCAATTTTGCACGTAGTTGACAAATGATAATTTATTTTAAAGATAGAATTTCCGTTTCATAATAATTAAGAATATTCTATAAGATGCTATATTTGGTGTTTAAATGTTAAATAAAGTTAAAAAGTGTCACTTACCAAAAGAATCGAACTAGATATATTTTTCGTATGATCTTAAACATTTGCAAAATCACAAAATATTTTCCCTTCGTTTCAATATGTTCTTACCAAATGACGTTACTTATGTCCTTGAAAGTCGGTCTTAGTTACCGTATATCCCGATAAAATGTTGTCACGTTGGATTTCTATAAATATCGATGTATTGTAAGGAGGAAATAAAAAACATCGGTAATAATGATTTGAAAATTGGGAAAGATTTGGTCTGTGACACTTTTAAATGTGACTTGTGCCAGATGGTGATATACATTTGGTAACTATATATTAAATAACGTCATATTTACCTGGAATCTATCACATAGGCTGAATTTCATCTTGATGAATTTCTTTAGATGCCCGATCGTGACAGCAGCAGGGCACAGCAGGTAGCGGCAGTCATGTACCTGCGATGCAAATTGGTAAATAAATTACCTAGAATATGAAACCCACTTTTATTTCCTGGTCCTTCAATCATTTCACATCGGACTTGCTAATGATATTAGTCATGATTACATAAAATAGTTTTTAACATAAAACACGCATATACCTGACCAGGACATTATTAATTATTGGTATGAACACATCATGCAGACATACATTATTCAATTGTGTGTCTTTGGTACAATCTTCGGATTGCAGGTGGTAGGTACCGCCAGTCGACTTTTGTCCCCCGAGGTTTAGTGTAACCTGCATGCCAAGTTTTAATTCATACACGCATGCCTCGCTTTCATTCATACACAGGCACTTTTAAAAACAATTCAATATGACATTGATTATACTTATTGGGGTTAGTGCTTCTCCCCATATGATTTTTGACATTTCTGTCGATCAATTTGGATCTTCCTCAGTCGTCTGAAATGGTCCACCCATTCAAGCCCTTATCATCACTTACAAATCCTAGCAGTACTAGTCAGTTTAATTAATATTTTCGCTACACAGTAGCTGATTCTAAATTTGTATTGGAAGGAGCTATCCAATTATTTGTTGTTTTTACAGACATTTAACACTAAGGTGTGGAATTCTGTAATACAGCTTATTAGATACATAAATAGTATGTAAATAACAATATTGCTTAATTGGAACGAAATAAGCATCCATTTACTGTACATAGGTATCGCTGTTGTTGATACGGATGAAATAAAAACCCTTTAATATGCCAACATATATAATACATGTTATAAGGACACCCTCTAATGACATTTGACTCAGAATTAATAAAACACACTAATTGTTCAAGCGAATTTTACATATTAACGTATATCAATAATCATGAACATCAGATTCCACATTTTGTAATTTGTATGATAATTAAAGCAGATTTGAGTAACAAAATGGAAGAATATCCAATCCACATTCAATATTATTAAGTTTGACGACGATGGAAAGGCCCTGAGGTACGATTTTGGAAAATTATTATTTATTGTGTTACAACATTAATTTCAGGATGAGTTATTTAGTTATGAATTTAGCCAGCTATATTTTTTAGGGTAACAATTAACCTTTGATCTATTCGTTTTGATTTTATTCGGACCTAGGATGTTCATGATATGTTTTAACAAAATACTTATCTCAGCATGTGCATTATCTGATATAATTTTCATTTTTGTTTCAGGAAGATAATGCTCGTGTTTGAAATTATAAATACAAAAATAGATATACCTTTTCCATAACAAAAAAAAAACCTCGGATATTTATTGCATTGTAGACAGACGAAGAATAATATATCAAAACAGAAGATTATCATTTGGATATGCTCAGCGTCTCACTATGATCAGAAACGACACTTACGTTGCTTTTGACGTCTTTACCGTTTTCTGCAATACTTCTGCTGGGTGGTCTGCCACTGGTAATGAAGAGAATAAAACATAAATAATGATGTTTTCCAGCAACTGATGTACATTATTAATGCACGTATTCTTAAACAAAGTTCTTTTAGTGTTTGTATAGACACTTTTGTTCATATCTTATATCTTTGTGGTCTATTCTTGGCCATCAACCAGAAGCGCTTACACTGAAGTTGTATTCTGTTAGTTACGGCTAACTGATAAATGCCACCCAGTGTTAAGATAATAGTTTGTTTTTGTTTTTGTTTCACTCCATTGGTTTATATCAATGTTGCCGTGAACTGAAGAGACAGTTCGAACTATTGGATTAAAGGTCATAGGTCAATATTGTATAACTATTGCCACTGCATACTACGTTGTCACAGCTTGAATTCGAAATCAAAGATTCGAAATATATCTAATAAAGAGAAACCATATACATCAAATAGTTACCAGGAAAAATGTAAGTGTTATCTTCTATTCCTATTCGAGCTATTCATAAATATATATATGTATCGGTAGAAGACTTAGTCCATCACATTCGCTCTAGACGCTTTTTGGTTTTACATAAAAAGTATTATTTCATAATTAATATTATTTCATATCATTTTATCAGTTTATTATATTTATATCGGTATTTTCCTATTAGACACAAAGAACTTGAAATTCTGGATCTGATATTATAGATTACAAGCAATCGACAGAGACGATGCGACAAGAGCTTTGGAATATTTCCGTACAACATCTTTCTCGGGTTTTCCTTAGGGGTCCCACTTATAGAATTTACTTGATAGTTAGCATAGAAGTGACTCATTTTTTTAATCTCGGGTTTATCTTAAGGCTAGTGCATTGGTATAATTATGGTCAATTTGTTTCTTATTGAACAATGTGAATTGCTATACTCTCCATGCATCTTCACACAAATATACTGAAAGTAAAATGTAGGATATTTCTAACTACAATACCAAAGAGGAATCAAATCGGCCATGTATTCAATATTCTTATTATGCGATACACAAAGCACATGTCATTATTAATATCATACATATCATATTTTATTTTAACAATCTTTACTTTTTTTTTAATTCTTTTTCTTACAAATCTATTAACATTATGATAGCAGAACTCTTCGAATGACATTATTTGTTAATTCCTCTTGTTTCTTGCGAGTTTTCATCCGCTAATTTGTGAAAACTCCTTTTCTTACATTAGAATCGTCAGTTACCGTTCATTACTAAGATAATTACTATTGCTATTTAAACACTAATTTAATTATTCATGAAGTAGTCTTTAAGTTAACATAATAAATAACACATCAAAATCTAATGTTTAAAAGTGATGATAATAATAAGATAATAGGCCATTTACTTAAAAAAAAACACAAGTTTGATATTCGTTAACCTCCTTTCAGTGTTATGTGTAATGAACTATTGTCCTCGGTAAAGTTTAAGGATGTTCTTAAGATATTTACTCTATATATCTTTAAAATAGAAAGACAGGTACGTACTTGATACTTAGCTGTAGGGCTAGACTTATTTGTTCATCTTCTGAGTAGATAACCCGTTCTCTCTGTTCATCTTCCTCATCGTCTCCGATACATGTTCCTGGACTTCGTGCCTTACCACGTAATTCCAATACAGCGTTCGCTAAAATTGAAACAGATGCGCCTATTTTTATATTGACGTCTATGGAATATTATGATTTTCGATGTAGATCACGGCCTTATTGTATACCGATTAACAAATGTTTTGAAGTTATTTTTTTATTAATTCCGTCAAGGCACCAAAACACACTGCTGTTGAAATTCGATGATCACGAATTTCCTATAAAATATTCACGATTACAAAAATCACTAAAGTAATATCAAAATCTTACCATCGTTTGGTTGGTCTTTATAAAATTCTCTACGCCTTGTCATTTCGTCTAGAAAAGGAAAATTAAATTAACACGGAGTATACACCATCTTTTTAAGATCAATAAAGCACAATTCATTTGTAAGATATTTCAAAAGCCTTATCCACTAAGTTAGTAAGTAAAAAGATCAGAAATGTTTTAAAAAACCAAAATAATTCAGAGATTAAACCATTAGTCATTGCATATCATATATTCTTTGAATAATCTTATTACACTCTGTCATGAATTGTCACTTCAGTATATGAACCCAGTCCTCTTTTAATATACACAACATCACCGTGTTAAATATAACGAAATTTTTATCTAAGACGCGCGCACATTGCACACATATACTCCACTCCACCAAGAAGGAAATGCAGCAGCTAACATTCTCGTTAGCCGTAACTACCTGCACGGTGTATCCTCTCAGGCAATAGCCAACATGCCTCGTTTTGAAAAAGAGTGTATTTAGTTTTAAATGGTAAAATTGACGTCACGCGCATGTCATTAACTGGCGCTGTAAGCACCGAACATCGTTCGACATATCCCAGTCGTTAGAATATAAATTATATTATCTGCCTTTCTCAATTATTAGTAACAAACTTGCCTGCCTGCGTGATATTGTAACCACATCAGGGAAACAACACTACCATAACACTTTGCTACAGAGGAGCAGTAACTAGCAATAACGTTATGTATGTGATATGTATTCGATTACCTGACGATAGCTACTAATACAATACGTTTTTTTTCACTTATTCACTTCGGTGAGTTGCATTGCAGGTATTACAGCATAAAACCGATGTTCTTGAAAAAAATTAGACATATCAGGAATGGAAATTTTACGATGTAATTAAAGACCGTGAATGTTGAAAAAATTCAGACAAAGTTAACATCTAAACTATAGCTTCCTTTGGTCTAAATCTGTTGTGTTTTGACGATATTTGTATTGTAGCATGATACGAAATACTCACCTTTGAATAAGCCTGGTACTAGTTTGTACACAATGTCTTGAAGTGTGTGATCCAATCTAAAGCAAAGAATGGAATTGACAATATTCTTGAAATAAACAACAACTTTGATGTATTGGGTAAGTACATGTTCTTAATAATGATATCATGAAATATACTCTCCTTGTACATTACTATCGAAAAAATCCATATCAATGAATATTACAGCACGGCTTGTGGTCAATGCAATGTAAATGCGTTCATCATGTCACCTCTGGATTTAGTCTATGGTCTTAGATCAGGGAGTATTTAAAGAGTTTAAAGACAAGCGCTTGATGACCATAGGACATGCATCGCTCACTTTGATGTTTGAGAAATCACATCATAACATTTTCGTGTTTCGCAAACGAAGAGGAATTTGAAAGGATTATAGTTATATCCACAGACACTTTAATCACATTATGCAAGACTGCTTCAAGGATTCCCCTTTCAGGCACCAGGGTGCCCAGGTGAAATAAATGCTCTCCCCGTAAAGACAAAAATGAGGAGAGGGGTATGGGCGAACATACACTGCTATGTAAAGGCCAAGTGAGCTAGATACGGTTTCCTAAAAGAAAGAAAATCAAATGGACTGATAGTAACTTGATTGAGATTTTTGCAGACACATAACGGATAGTTGTATGATATTGTATGGTAAAACTGGACTTCTAATTATGGAAAATAACGGTTCTGTGAATTAAGTGATATAATGTGCTCGACTTCCTTTAGAGTAAGGACAGCATACACTTGTGTAGTCCTCTCGCTGACGAAAGCATTTTAAAAAATCTCAAATTAGACGCATTCTAGCTCTGAGGCAGTGAAAACCAAAATAGATCCTTCCTCCTGTTTTCTGTTGAATTACTTCCAAATGATCGTCTGCTTTTGTACTCACACGGCGCGTGCTCACGCGTGGTCTTCCCTCACACACGCGCTGCTTTGTATGGTTTTTGAAATCTGAACTCAATGTCAATATTAATATTTCATCTGTGCGTAATTACTGTTGAGGGTGTAGAGCTCTGTAGTCCTAACGTCACTTCATCAGATGTTTGACATTTATTGACGGTAGACATGTATCATATCCAACACAACATTGGTATGGCGCTAAGCATGTGATCTCAGAAAAAGCAACAACAAAGAACAATATATCAAGATGTAGTGTTTATGTATGTACCGTTAAACTAGCGAATCAGTGACATGATCTATTTGAAGGCAATATAATAGTGTGGTATCTTCGCAGTTGAACGATATACGTTTTCAATGTTTACATATGTCCTCAATATCCATACATTGCCAAATGACTTGTAAAATTTAATTGCTTTTCGTTCAGCTGTATGTTGGTACAAGTTTTAAAATATGAGCTTTGTTTATACACCATTGTATCTCCGAAATGCCAATTTATTTGCACACATTTGATCTAAATACATGGAATAAACGTTTCCGACAGATCAGCAACATTTTATGCCCGTTTGCGTGGGTAAATTACAACAGATCAAATACCACACAATTGACATATCAAGCCAAACTCAAATCTAAATACAAATAAGCCATAAACCGGCAAGAACGTAACATAAACAAAAGTTACGGCTAATATATTAAAGCACACTAACCGTCTAAAGTCATGATAAGCTGCTAGGCCATTCAAAGACCAGGTATATAGCTTTTGTAAAGTGAAATACTTCAGTTGAGTACCATGAGAGCTTGCGTTGGAGATCTGAATACACGAGTACTGTGAGGGTTATACGCAATGATATTGTGAGTAGAATTGTACTTTTATCTTCATTGTATATAATCGATCATTCTCAATCGAACACGTAACTTGTGTCCTTACATTTATATACGTTGATTACGAAATGTTCTTTTCGCACTCACCTTATGTTTAACAGAGGTTTTGTCTTGTGGACTTGAACATCGCAAATAGGACAGAACTTGCTGCTCTCTAAGTATCGCACGATGCAGGTCTTGCAAACTATAAGAAGAAAGACAACATTAGGAAAGTGTTGTACTATTATAACACCATACAAAGGGGTGTTCACTGTCATAATAATTTGCATCTCTTTATAAACATAAACTGATAATAAACCTTTCGCAAGTATATCGATTTTCGGGAATATTGGTAAAAAGAATGAATAAAAAAACATAGATAAACAAATATAGAAAACAATTATTTACCATGGAACAAGTACTAAATCTGCAGTAAAGTATGATATATATGTAACATAACATTAACGATCGGTTTTAACATCGATCAGGTTCCATTACAAAACTCCTGTCCGCGATAGGGTTCCAGAGATGTTCAGTTTTTCCAAACGACAGTTCTAGTTGAACTTCACTCTTCCTCACAATACAACACTACAGTAACATGGATTGGTTTCTGCCTTATGAAGAATGCCCGTCTACCGGTGATAACGTTTCTTTAACAATCGATATTTGCTAGTTTCAAAATCGACAATGAGCGAAGAAACATCAGGAGAGAAATACCAGTTTTCTCAATTGCTGATGATTTGTCAAAATGTCTGTATGAAATGCCTCCCCCGAGAATCCGCTTAAGCAGATAAAGCACGTGCAGCGTGCAAAAACCGGTCGATATTCACTTTACGGATGCTTTGAGAAGAGCTCCCCGCTCTAGTTTATAGTAAATGTCAATCATTTATGGATTCGTTTATTAGTCTTGAATAATAAATTATTTAACAAGGAAAGCAATACTCTGTTCTCGCGGTGCCTGGCTATTCTGATTGTATCTTTTATTCAGTTGTATTTTTAAATTAGCTTCTCTAAAAATTCGAAGAAAAATACCTCGAAAATTAGCCTTTCCTAAGAATAAGCATTTAGTTTTTTACATAAATAACTCTGCATTTGTTTACTAATACAGAAAATAAGCCACGTCTTACTTTCGTGTTTTTGAGGTATCTAAGCGTTCTAACAAGAAGCTTTTGTTCCAAATAATAATTTTGTCACATCTAAAATATTTTGGACCATATCGGTAATTATAAACAAATAATTATTAATCATAAACAACTTTGTTGACACCTTTAATTCTGTGAATGATGATTTAGCAGTATGCTTATCCTGATATAGATTTGATTAAGTATCAATCAGTTTTACCTTAAAGCTGAATTAATATCACTGCTGACTGGATTGAAGTCTGTCAGCAAAGTTAAAATTCATCGGGTTCGTTGGCCTTCTATCAAGTTTTAGAAAAATCACCAAATGTTTACTTTTTTCTTTACCTTCTTCCTGATCAATAGGAATGTTATTTGAAGACGTAAGACGATGACATTCTCATCATTTTTAAAACTGAATGGCTATATCCGTCACAAGATATAAAATCAAATATTTTTAGCGTACTGTTATGTTTAAGACCAATATTGTCCATAGCAGTGCTTTAATAACTTTGTATGTTACTATTTAATAGCTAACGCATCTACGAATAAAAAAAAAAAAAAAAAAACATGGCTTAAAAAGAGTTTAAAGTATGAAATTATTTCAGAAATGGAATACATTAGTTTTGCAATACGTTGCCAACAGCTGGGTCAGATCTTCTTACATATAATCGGTCATTGTATCAATTAAAATTCTGTATGTATATGTATACATATATTCGCATTTTTATGTCCTGAATCGGTGCCATTCTATTCTCAATTATATATTAGTCATATGTTGTAAGGCTTATATCATAACTTTAAAAGACGGCTTTGCTTCTGCAGTAATTACGAGAGCATACTGTGAAGTGTTAAAATTCTGTAAACTGGTATTTTGCAGATGTAAAATGGAATTCATATGACGATGTTTTTACACTGTTATAGTTGTTGTAAATATCTAATATTCATAACAGAACAATAATCTCGCAAGTTCGTGCAAATATACCAAATGCTATATTTTTTTCTATAAATGAAATTATCAAATAATGTCTTGGTTATTTAAATGTCACAAATCTGTGTAATCATTTAAGTCATACATACATACATTTATTCATTTTTGGATTTGTTTGCCCAGGTACAAGCAATGGTGATTTCGGGACGGAATCCCAATTCAATAAATGAAAGCTAACTCACTGGGCATCATATGGGAGGCCAGCTTTACAATATCCAAAGCAATTAGGGATAACTTTTTCCATGACACAACTACAAGAGTTCAGAATGGTATGTTCACAGCTTCTTAAGAAACACAAATGACATGGATGGAACCGTACACCTTAGAAATTCATCTAAAGTTCCAAAGTCCGAAATATGTCCTTAAAAAGCATCTTCATATATAGAAACATATTTAACCTCTTCGATGTAAGACCGTAGCACGCAATGACCTCTACAGACTTTTGTATACAAGGGATATAATTTTCAGATTGCAGTTCATACAAGGTATACATGACTGTGGTTTACACATGATAGGAGCATAACCAAGACATTTATACATTTTTTTATCAGTAACTTAATAACATTCACATTCTCACGAACTAAACATGTGTTGGAGTAATGCAATGATAGAAAGAAATACACTGTCTCGGTGCGACAAGTTTGGATTGTGCTTTGCATAGAAATGACATTATTACAGATCACCACACCGAGCGACATATAATGCTGTTTATCATTACTCTAACAACCCATAGTGGAAAAATAGACTACTGGTAAATACATCAAGCTGTGAGATGTATGGCCAGAATCAGATAGTGCAGCTTAAAGCATATCTGTATTTATATGTGCTCTTCAGGATTTAATTTCATATTACGATACTATTCAATTTAAAAGTAAACAATAATCGTAAACAGGAAGTACGACTATTTCAATGCAAATGTATACAATATCTTGTGAATCATATCAACTGAAAATATTGCACTCTAGCTCGTGATGACAGTCGATACGACATTTTTATGGCTTAATCACAAAGATCATGCATCCACACAGAATCAACAACGATACTGATACCAGGAACTATTATCCCGTCTCTCCTTTATTTACTTTATTAACACTACAAAAATCGATGAGTTGTTTTAACAAGAGTTGACATAAAATACAGTAGTATTAATTAAACTTATTTTTTCAGTAGCAATTTAATGAAAAAGACACTTTATTTTGTAATGGTCCAACTACTTGAAAAAGTTATACAAAATATACTGTAAAAGAGTTAATTTTGGGACAAGCAAGTTATAGCACATTGACAATAGTCAGCAAATTTACACAATGATTGATTTCCGCATGTATAATACTTTTTTGCAACCAACAAAACACCAATTAGCGCAATAATAATTTCTTATCCAAACGTGCTGAAATGATGTTACCGCTAAAATATGAGCATTGATAGTTAGCTAATCAATATGTATCCCCTTAACGGAGCATATCTATTTACGATGCATGCTTGAGATTAACATATTTATAAATGCAGATTTTGAAAATGTATATTTCTGACTGTCATAGATATCACATCTACATCTCCAACGTTCATTAAACGAAAAATAATTATCTTTAGTCAATCTCCTTCATTGAAGACAACAGACACTTCGAACCTATTCATATCCAGTAACATTCCTGACAGAAAACAATCACCAAATGAACCCGATTGACATGGTTACGCCACTCTATGTTTCAATTGATTTCAAGCATATTTGTCACGTCGAGGTATTAAATATCCATGCTTACACTTATTAAAGAACAATGATGAATCAGAAATAACGGGGACTACTTAGCAAATTGACGTCATCGAAGACGTGATCAAATTTTAATTTTGAAAATAACTTTTCCCTTCCTGCAGTTCTTAACATGCACTCATGAAATTTTCAACTTGTATGTGAATTAGCTATTTCCTTTATAACCGCTGACTATTTCACTACTTTATCCCATAAATCAATAATTTCTTTATGTATCTAAATTGTATTGGTTTGTCTTTCATCAAATGACATGGTAACAGAATACGACATTAAACAGTATTGTGTAAAAATAAAAAAAAATAAAAAACAGTCATATGTCGACATGATTTTGATGACAAAAGTATGACAAATACATGATATAACAGTACAAAACAAAACTGGTGTGTACAATCAGGACATGATTTATATGTTGTGCATCTTAAACATGGTATAGACAAACCTGCCCGAGGACAAAAAAAAAGACACGCAGCGAAGGAAAGCAAGAATGTAATAACTATTTGGCGTATTGTAGACAAGATGCGCTTCCGGCATAATGTCATAGACATGACTCTTTGAAAGAAGTTTCCGAAGATGATGAATATAAGTCGCGTGGGACGCAGGGTACGATTTTAAAAAGTCCCGCTGAAAGCATTACATAGTGTAAAAGGTTCTCTTAAGGAGGACACGAAAGGGTATATAGAAAAGGCGTAGGGAACGTTTGCCTTGATTTATAAATGAATATTGAAGGCAAGAAGAGATGTAAACAAGTTTATTGTAATAAGGTGCTGAGTATAACATATAATGAAAGCAGGGTATGTTTTTTCTAAACACTTAAAAAGACCTTTGTGATGTAAAGAAACTTGCTACAGGTATGATGTTAGGTACAAACGGCCAAGATCCGACAGCAGTACATGACAAAGACAAATCGTGGTAAATATATACGGTAATGTAAGCCGGACGCGCTTTAGAAAAGGTTCATCCTAGACAAAAGGGTTAGAAGAACAAAGCATGATATAGGCTTAGATTCGTTTAAATAAAACATGGGTTTTGATTAATTTTCTGTTCTTTAATGTGTTTGATACCTTTCGAAAATACATTACATACTATACATTCCGACCAATAATAGGCTGCATGGTTGTGTAATTCAGGGTTAAAGAGATAAGAGAGAGGTAAATAACAAATTGGAATCTATTCCATGTCGCTAGATTTTAGTGATAAAAATATTTATATCCCTAATGAATTGTTAATCTAAAAGAACACCTGTCAATCATAAATATTTAAACAAAAATATGTATAAGAAGAATAGATAAAGCGAATATGCACTATTTCACCGAGGAATAAAAACGCCT